GCGGTGCCAGTCGATGGCGAAGCGACATTTGAGGATATAGCAAGGCATACCAAGCTCCCTCTTGAGGTGGTGAGTCGTGTCATCGACCATGCTGTCACGATGCGCTTCTTCCACAAACCTTCGCCCACATCGACCTCAGTCAAACATAGCTCACGATCTGCTGCACTAGCCAAAGACTCTGGTTTGTCTGCACTCGTGCAGATGGTGTTGGATGAAACGGGTCCCCCAATGTTCTTGCTTCCAGAAGCTTTGCGACGCTTTTCGCAAGGAAAACCTGAGATAAGCAAGGACATAAAAGAGACTGCTTTTAGGCTGTGTCACTCTGGCGGTGAAGCGTGGGGTGACTATGAGACCAGTTGGGAGTTTATCGAAAACGATGGCGAGGGTGAGAAGAAGGGCTGGCGACAGAGGAACTTCGTCAAGTTCATGGCCTATATCAAGGATCTGTTCCACACCGAAAACATGGTACTCGAAGCCATCGATTGGAAGGCAGAGGGCGAAGTCACGGTCGTTGACGTGAGTATACCTAGACCTGATCCTCATCCTAACACTAACAGTCATCAGCTCGGTGGTTCAGCTGGTCACGACGATGCTGTTCTTGCAACAAAGTTCCCTAACCTCAAGATCGTAGTCCAAGATCTCCCCGAAGTCGCCCCAGTCTTCGAAAAAGAATTCCCATCCGAATTAAGATCGCGCGTCTCGTTTCTTACACACAACCTTTTCGATCCACAGCCTGTACAAGCGGATATTTACATGCTCAAGTGGATCTTACACGACTGGCCGGACGTTGAGTCAGTGAAGATATTGCAAGCACTCCGGCCCGCACTCCGGCCCGGTGCCCGCGTTCTTTTCATCGATTATGTGGGCAAACAGGAGCCGAGCAACGAGGAGCTGCCAAGGAGTATACAGGGCTTTGGTACAGCCACTGATCTGAGGATGATGGCATTATTTAACGCGAAGGAGAGGCCAGTAGAGGCGTGGAAGGACATCTTCGAGCAGGCTGATGAGAGATACGATGTTGTTAGAGTTGAAGCTGATCCGTTGAGCTTCATGTGCGTGCTTGAGGCTGTGTGGAGGGGCTAGATGTCATATGGCACACCGCGAACTCGCTTCTAAACTGGCCGTCTAATCAGATAAACAATCTATCTTGTTTTTCATTCGTACCTGTGTCCCTCGTTCCACACAGATCGATATAACGAGGCTCAGCTCGGACCTGAAAGCTGCTACAATCACTAGGCTAAGAAAAGCTTTGCTCAAATAAAGAGCGCGAGATGTAGAGAGCTGAATGCGCTACAGGCACTCGATTGTGTTGCATGCTCAGCGCACTAGGCTGTTTGACGCCGATATCCACATGTGCCCCGACTTTGTCGTGGTGAAAAGGGACAGTATCCCATATCCGCGATGAGCTTTGTATATTGGCGATATGAGAAATTCTCCATCGAGAAAAAACTCCCCGTAGCTCAGTTGGTTTAGAGCGTCTGACTGTAATATCTGCTGTTATCAGAAGGTCCCTTGTTCGACTCATGGTGGGGAGAATAATTCTCTTTTTGCCTTTTTTTGCTCTTGTCTGTACCTAGTATCATATGCCATGAGGTGTTTCGAGCTAGCTTGGGGAAAGTCGAAACAGCATTCCAAACAAGCTATCTATGCGCTATACCCGGGACATTACCAGCCGTGACATCGGACCGGCTCCAGACAGGGCAGATCATAGTATGGTTATCGAAAAGCTCAATGCAGACGCCCAAGCCCAGAGCCACTCCGGCATAATGATCTTTTTGACGCCTCTAGCAGCCGTCAGACCCAACGCCACAATGGAAGCATTCCTAGCGACCCTAGAAACATGCATACAACTGGTACTGGGCTGGCCAATGGGCGGTGCCCTTACTCCCCAGGTAGTCTCTGTTTATGAACAACTAGCGTACCAAAACGTCGTCAAGACGGCCCTTCATGTACATGCAGAAAGGTTTAGAGATACGAATTCTTCAAGAAGTATCCGGTACCCGGCAACGTGTGCTTATAAGAATAGTTCACAAAGATAGTCACGACCAAATCATCACTTCAGATCCTCGTCCACAATCATCAGTCAGTTCTTTCTTCAGCGCCTTCGTCTAGTCATTTCACCATGTCTCCCCGATTAAATACCGTCATCTTATGTATATCACTTTTATCTATTGGGCACATTGCGCAGGCGCAAACTCCCAAGCTTATATCGATACCGATAAAGCACTCTAATATTGATGACGCGGGTCCTTTCATCCCTCTTGTTTCGATGGGGGTCGGTACTCCACCACAGCTGATAACGGCGATCTTGGACACGGGAAGTAGTGATCTCGTCATCCCAAGGACAGGCAGTAGAATCTGTCAAGACAAACAGCAGCAATGCTCTGGCACACCTTTCGTCACTGGTTCGTTCGATACGGATCGTGACACTAGTATTACAGATGTCAATACAGAGCTCAACACGAGTTTTGCAAACGGTGCTGTGTTCCAAGGAGGATTCGTCAAGACAACACTGATGCTCGGTAACCAAAGTGTGTCGGATTCACAACTTGGAGTCATCGAACAAGGTTCGCTGCCTTCTGGGAATCCACTTTTCCCCATATTCGGTATCGGTCCTATTGAGAACGAAGTTGTCCAGCCACCATACCAGAATACATTGGCCAATCTCAAGGATACTGGTGCTATCAATGCCAATGTATATGGTATCTTCATGAACGATTTCCGTAAGTTGAGCATAGTAAATGTTCGAATGAATGCCAGGCTGATATCGGTATCCTCTTGACAGGCAGTCCAGAGGGCTCTATTGTGTTTGGCGGTGTTGACACCGCGAAGTTCCAAAGCCCGCTCCAAAATGCAGGACCACTTTTATTGAACAATGGAGGCGTTGCGTCGCAATTTGTAATCGATTTCAGCTCCATGCAGTTGGTCAGCGGCAACTCATCCTCCTCGAGATCCAACGTCGACTTGGCACCACGGGGCGGCCTCCCTCCGGCGTTGATCGACACTGGAAACCCCTCGCTGAACATTCCATCAGCTTCTCTACGCGCCATGGCCATGGTTATAGGTGCGAATTTTGACGATCAAGCTGGTCAGCTGGGCAGTGTGCCGTGTGATCTTGGCTCCCGCGGAGAGAGCCTCTCATTCGGCTTCAACAACAACCAAGCGAAGATCAGCACTCCTTTGGCTGCGATGCTTGTTCGAGATTCGTCTTCGGGCACGACTGAATGTTTCCTACCGATGTTTTCTTCAGATGGGGATGATACAGCAAGCCTAGGCGCTCCGTTCATGCAAGGAGCTTACATCGTTTTTGATCTGGATAAAAAAAAGATCATGATGGCAAATGCAAACATCAATGCTACCAATTCGAACCTGCAGAAGTTAGACGTGTTGTAGTATCATTATCAAACAACAGTTCCAAAAGCATCAGCTACATTATATAGGCCTTAGAAAGTGATAACAATAAGTCCTTGACCACAGTACCTAAGTACCTTGACAAACCAAGTGCCTGATGTTGCTTCAGGAGGCAAACAGAAGTGTATGTAGTAGTAGTAGCAGGTGCAGCTCGAGCATGAACATAACTCTGCATTGCAGAGTAAAACACTACATTCCAGCGATAAGGTCTGTCAGGTGTCGTGTGCGAAGATCAGGAACAGGTTCGTGGAGTGCTTCCGGAAGCCGCATCTCGATCTAGACCCCAATCAGCTAGACTCAGTTACTCTGAAGCTCTCAATGTTGCCCAAGCGCTACTGCGTCAGTCTTTGGTAAACAATCATCATACGACCTCGAATACAAACGAATTTCATTGTTCAAAAACTGTTTTTCTTCCCTTGCGCGCTGTTGAGATGCTTTGAGTCATGTACCTTTGACGTATCGAATTTCGGGCCATCGCCGAGGATCCGGCCGTCATGGTCTGTGTAAGCAAAGCTATCAGCAGATCCATATGAAAATGCAGGCCATCCTGAAGAGAATAAAGCCTAGCCTGAGATTCCGATGACTCTAAGCCGTGAGGGTTTGCATAAGTGAGGAGCGGATTCCGCGTTATGTTTGATCTTAATCTTTTACCCTCGATCACCTCAAGTTCATCACTGTCATCCTCAACTCTCGCATCAGAATGTCGGCGCCATGTGCGATACAGCATGGAGCTCGTATAACACCAACTGATTTGTGCAGTGGTCAAGCCGCGCTTTCAGATGGCCAAGCGCTGCCCAGATGGCTCATTCCAGCGGACCGTCGGGGTTGGCGACGTATTGTCCAAAACTTTACACCTGCATGGGTATGTAGCATCGTCAGATACTGGAGTTTATGAGTAACGAGAGACTAAATGAGCCTCAGTTCGCCGTCACCATGGGTACAGGCATCGTCGCGGTCCTGTTTCACACCTTCTCGGAGCTCTACCCTAGCTACCATCGCTCGTTGAGAGCGCTGAGCATCGCCTTTTTCATACTCAACATCATCATATTCTCCACCATGCTCATGATATCAGTCCTCAGATACACACTGTATCCCGCCATATGGATTCTGATGCTTCGTCATCCGGTACAGTCGCTGTTTCTTGGCACAATACCCATGGGATTTGCTACCATCGTCAACATGTTCGCCGTTGTTTGCGTACCAAAATGGGCTGGCTTGACACCATACGTCTTGTGGGGCATGTGGTGGCTCGACGTCGCACTCAGCGTTGCTTGTTGCCTCTGGCTACCTTTCCAGATGTGAGTTGACCATGTTTGTCGCTTGAATCTCAAGATCCCGCCTCAAAGTGTTTCTGTTATTGCGAGGAATATGAGAACGCCACCAGCTAATATAGCTGCAGGATGACCAAACATCATAACCGCCATGAGACGATGACAGCAGCCTGGCTTCTGCCGATCGTGGCCTGCATCGTTGCAGCAGCTTCTGGCGGCGTTGTCGCCTCGGTCTTGCCTGACCCGAATCACGCCCTTGTCACCATAGTCACCAGCTATGTCCTTTGGGGTATGGGTCTACCTCTGGCACTCGTGATAATGGTTATATACTTCCATCGTCTTGCCATTCATAACCTTCCATCTCAGGAGGTTATCGTCAGCGTCTTCTTGCCTCTCGGCCCCATGGGCCAGGGCGGATACGCAGTTTTGAAACTCGGCATTCAAGCTTCGAAGACCTTCCCAGATACAAAAGCCTTGCACCCGGTAGCTGGAGAGGTCCTCTACGTACTAGGCTGGATGACCGCCATCACACTCTGGGGCTTCGGTCTGGTATGGTTGTTCTTCGCTGTCGCGTCGATCAGTCGAAACAAGTTCCCTTTTAACATGGGTTGGTGGGGTTTCACCTTTCCTATTGGCGTCTTTACAATGTCTACCATTACCATAGGACAAGAACTTCCTTCCGCTTTCTTTAGGATTCTAGGAACGATACTTGGAATTAGTGTCGTTCTGCTCTGGGTGCTTGTCGCTGTTGGCACTATGAAGAACATTATATACGCAAACATGTTCGAAGCGCCTTGCTTGCGCGACATAGAGAAGAAAGCATGTGCAGCTTCTCGTGGGATGCAACATCAGGACGCGTAGGTAGATCCAGCATAGAGAGCCTTCGTCGTTGCGAGAGTAATGTTTAGCTGGGAGCTTCACTCACTAGCTGACTGTAAATAAAAGGGCGATTAGACCGAAAAGGACGAGGAAATGTCAGGCTCGTGAGGTAAAGGAGACATGCAAGTTGACGAGATCAAAGTCAACCTACAAGCTCCTGGAGACGCCCGTTTCATTTCCAGCGAAGCTCGTATTTCTTCCTTGACTGGTAGTGGGGATAGGTTGCGAAACGCAGTACCACCTGGTGCTTCACTCTGGCTACCGTAGCGGGAATCACGAAGCAGCCAACTAAGACGGATCCGCATCTTATCGATAAACCGTTAGACGCAGATCTACCATGACGTGAAACAGCAAATGTTTCTTCTTTGCCTGGTGAGAGTTGCCCTCTTAGATATGCGTGCTATCCATGAGTATCAGTGGAAGGCACACATGCATGTAGATATTGTCGTGTTGTACCGTACGTGGCGGACATGTAGGTTTACTTATCGCGCACTGACGAAGGGCCGATATGGAGCATCTCTCTTGGCGCTTCCTCTGGTGGCGTAATATGAGGCTGCAGCAGGCTCCAGTCGGACGCGTAACAACGCCAGTCTCACTCTGGAGTCGCGGGTAGTGGCACGAGCTGGCCCTTGTAGGACTTTGCGAGGGTGGCGGCAAGCAATCCGCGGTGAAAGGGACACAGTGTTTCTTAGTAGGTCCGCTTGTCTAAGCGTTTCCAGCAACTTCCAATGTTGCGGCGGAAGGAGCACGGACCCTAAGGCAACATCAAGCTAGCTCGAGCAGTGAGATCACCGACTGTTCAAGCTCCAACTTACTTAAACCACGACGCCCCAAGCACCGGAGATCCATCATCTCCATCTTACCCCCCCACACCACTCACCACCCTCTCAACCGCGCTGCAATTACTTCTATCCCTCTTTGCACTGAAAAAGTAATTTCGCAGAACCACATATAGACACATCAGCAAGATGTCGGCTGAACCAGACCACTCCAAGCCCAAGGTGGACCTTTCAAAGTACGTCGCTTGCCACCACTTCCGCACTTGCGACAGCGACTAACAGCATCTCAGGAACCCCGACGGCGCTGAGCCCAAGGATGTAGGCACCGCGAAGCACCTTTCTGCGCCTGCCCTTACTGACCCGCCACAGAACGATGAGACCGCGACTGCCATCCTCAAGAAGAAGAAGAAGCCAAACTCCCTGATGTAGGTGCTCCAGGAAGCGATTTGAGAAGCCTCTCCTAACTTTCTCAGTGTCACCGACGCCGTCAACGATGACAACTCGATTATCGCTCTCTCAAACAACACCATGGAGACTCTCCAGCTCTTCCGCGGTGACACAGTTCTCGTCAAGGGCAAGAAGCGGAAGGACACCGTCCTCATCGTGCTTGCAGACGACGATCTTGATGACGGCTCCGCGCGGATAAACCGTGTCGTTCGCCACAACCTGCGTGTCAAGCACGGTGATGTTATCACCATCCACCCGTGCCCGGATATCAAATACGTATGTATTCTCAGTCCCAGTCATTGTAAAATCGAGACTGACAACCTTTGCAGGCCAAGCGCATCGCAGTTCTCCCCATCGCCGACACAGTCGAGGGCATCACCGGATCGCTGTTCGACGTTTTCCTTGCCCCATACTTCCGCGAAGCCTACCGACCGGTTCGTCAAGGCGACACTTTCACAGCCCGCGGTGGTATGCGACAAGTGGAGTTCAAGGTTGTCGAGGTCGACCCACCGGAGTTCGGTATTGTCGCACAAGATACCGTCATCCATTGCGAGGGCGAGCCTATTCAGCGTGAGGACGAGGAGGGCAACCTCAACGAGGTCGGTTACGACGATATTGGTGGTTGCAGGAAGCAGATGGCACAGATCCGAGAGTTGGTTGAACTGCCGCTGAGGCATCCTCAGCTGTTCAAGTCCATCGGTATCAAGCCCCCGCGTGGTATCCTGATGTACGGTCCCCCCGGTACCGGTAAGACGCTGATGGCTCGTGCCGTCGCCAACGAGACTGGTGCTTTCTTCTTCCTGATCAACGGTCCTGAGATCATGTCCAAGATGGCCGGTGAATCAGAGTCAAATCTGCGAAAGGCTTTTGAGGAGGCCGAGAAGAACTCGCCAGCGATCATCTTCATTGATGAGATCGATTCAATCGCGCCTAAGCGTGAAAAGACCAACGGTGAAGTCGAGCGCCGTGTCGTCTCGCAACTGCTCACTCTCATGGATGGCATGAAGGCGCGCTCCAACGTCGTTGTCATGGCCGCCACCAACCGACCCAACTCGATCGACCCCGCCCTCCGCCGTTTCGGACGTTTCGATCGTGAAGTCGACATCGGTATTCCCGACCCTACCGGCCGTCTCGAGATCATGCAGATTCACACCAAGAATATGAAGCTTGGTGACGATGTCGATCTACAAACCATTGCTGCTGAGACTCACGGATACGTCGGTTCGGATTTGGCATCACTCTGCTCTGAGGCTGCTATGCAGCAGATTCGTGAGAAGATGGATCTCATCGATCTGGACGAGGACACCATCGATGCTGAGGTTCTCGACTCGCTTGGTGTGACCATGGAGAACTTCCGTTTCGCTCTTGGTGTTTCTAACCCTTCGGCTCTTCGTGAAGTGGCCGTGGTTGAGGTTCCTAACGTTCGGTGGGAGGACATTGGTGGTCTGGAAGAGGTCAAGCGCGAGCTCATTGAGTCTGTGCAGTACCCGGTCGACCACCCCGACAAGTTCCTCAAGTTCGGTATGTCTCCCTCGCGAGGTGTACTGTTCTACGGTCCTCCTGGTACTGGTAAGACGCTTCTTGCCAAGGCCGTTGCCAACGAGTGCGCGGCCAACTTCATCTCCATCAAGGGTCCCGAGCTACTTTCCATGTGGTTCGGTGAGTCAGAGAGCAACATCCGAGACATCTTTGACAAGGCTCGTGCCGCCGCACCTTGCGTTGTCTTCCTTGACGAGTTGGACTCTATTGCCAAGTCGCGTGGTGGATCTCAAGGAGATGCTGGTGGTGCATCCGACCGTGTCGTCAACCAGCTTCTGACTGAGATGGACGGTATGACATCAAAGAAGAATGTTTTCGTTATCGGCGCTACCAACCGACCGGAGCAGCTCGACAACGCCCTGTGCCGTCCTGGTCGTCTGGACACGCTCGTCTACGTTCCTCTACCCGATCTGGCCTCGCGTGCCAGCATCATCAAGGCTCAGCTGCGCAAGACTCCTGTTGCTGAGGATGTCAACATTGACTTCATCGCCCAGAATACCCACGGATTCTCCGGTGCCGATCTTGGTTTCGTCACCCAGCGTGCTGTTAAGCTCGCCATCAAGCAGTCTATTGCAATCGATATCGAGCGCCGCAAGGCTCGCGAGGCTGCTGGTGAAGATGTTGATATGGAAGTTGACGAGGAGGACCCAGTACCTGTGCTGACCAAGGCTCACTTCGAGGAGGCTATGCGCTCTGCTCGTCGTTCCGTTACCGACGTTGAGATCCGCCGATACGAGGCCTTTGCACAGTCAATGAAGAACTCTGGAGGTTCAAGCTTCTTCCGCTTCCCCGACGCTGAGAATGCGGCGGGCGGTGGTGAGCAAAACACCTTTGGTGCTGGTGGCGAGGACGAGGATTTGTACAACTAGAAAGTTGCAGCTAATAGCTGGAACGAGTGAGTACGAAATCATGACGAATGGGTTTCTTTTTTCATCACATGGCATGAGGGGCTATTGATGCCCCATACATAGATGGAGGCGCGCGTAATTGCCGGCGCTTTGACGAGATATCAGTAGTATCTTTGACGAACCAATGGCCTGAATGAGAATGCATGTTATCAATGAACTTGTGCTCCACGGCTGTTCTGCTACTGTGCTGTACAACTCTACACCGACATCTATTTCACACCCCTATTCTGTCACAAACTCTTCCTGCTCATACATTCATGTCCTACCCAGTCGCCAAGCCCAAACATCGCTGACATACAAAGTGTCTGAGTGGCGCTGGAGTGCTTATCGGAGATGCAAGGTGATGTTAGTATCTCTCACAACAAGATCCGGGACGCACCAGCACTATTTGAGGATGTCGCGTACGCGACGCCGACTGTGCCGTCGATACTGCCGTTCGCTACGGCCATGTGTTGAGCTCTTGTTCTTGCATTTTCTCCTCCGATGCATAGACTGGCAAACCGGTTTCTGGTATTGCTGCGTTTTAAAATGTGGGTTACTCATGCGAGCGAGAGCAATCACTTGTCGTCTTCGTATGTAATGTCGCACACCTTTTCCAACTCCTTCATGACCGTCTTTGCACCGGCGTCGATTGCCGACTTGGGAATCTTCAAGTCGACCTCCTCCCCACTCTCGCCATTTGCATTTGTAGTTCCGTTCACTCCGTTGGAATCCTCGCCCAGACCACGCGTCTGCTCCCTGATTTTCTGCATGGCCAGGTTCCGGGCTTCCTCGCAGGTAGTGGCTTGGCCTGAGCGGAAGAGATCGGTAATGTAGGCTCTCAGAGCATCTTTGAAGCCAGAGACGCGCAAGGATTCATCAAGAGTGGATTCGATATTGCGGATGCCATCGCCGGAGAGTAGGGCCGAGTAGATGTTATTCCGGAGATCCTGGGATATACCAGATTGGGCCTGAGTCGTTGACACACTGATGGATTGAGACATGGTTCCGAGTTGGTGAGCCGATGGGTTGCAAAAAGACAGGAGAACAGAAAAGGAGGATGTTCGTCTAAAGTTTTCAATACCGGGCGAGCTACCTTATATTGAAGTAGTGGATGATCCTGTTCGCGTAGACGACGGGGAGTTGGGCGCACGTGGGATTGTGCTTTGAAGCTTGGAGGTACCCGGATGTCGTAATTTGGGATGCAGCGTCTTAAACGACTGGTCGGGGTAGCCGTATTCGGGCAGATGCCGGCACAGATTGCCCTAGTTCAACGTTGGCGGTGAAGATCGCTGCGACGCATGTGCGTGGTTTACCGGGTGCCGTTGCGGGCTCGTGGTGCGAACGATGACTTGCAAGATTGCAACTTGGCGGATCCGAAAGTAGGGGGATTGTAGGATGTGAGTGTTGGATTGGCGTGGTTGGAGTGAAAGTGGCAGACAGGGCAACGGAGCGGATTGTAGGTAGTGCAGTGCTTCCGAGGGATACTGCAATAAGGGCAAAGACGCGCACAGTCAGGTGGTGAAAGCGAAGCTGGGAGTTTGGTACCTGCATCCTTTATCGCAATATTGGTTCCAAGCTCGTAGTATGGGAAGCACGGACCTCTTTCCCGCTTTGGCTTCGGTGGCCCTGCTAGCCGCCTGTCGGACGGTATTGGTATTGGCATCCAGAAGCAGGCGACCCAGTTTACGTTGCAATCTTGATTGTTCTTCCTCGTGCGCTGTGAAGTCTGTCTCCTCACTCTACTCTGGACTGGTGCATCATACGACTGCTGTCTACTTCACGCAAGAGCATACGACGCCTGCAAGGACCATCGCAGCCCCCGAGGATACGCGCTCCCCCATCAGGCGTCGACGACAAAGCGCTTAACGACCGCCACGCCTGGCCGCCTGAGGAGACCTTCACCCTCCCCGCCTTGCGCAGTGCAGTGCCACCGGCTAGCTGTGTATCTGAGACCACGCCCAGGATATCCCACTTGCTCCCGCTGGAGACGAAACACGCCGGCTCAATCTCGCTTCGTCTCAGACAGGGTGCCCTATCGACGACGCCAGGCCCGGGCTATATCGCCATCGATAACACAGACGTCGTCCCCTCGACGAGCTTGCTGAGAGGGCTTGGCAGCATCACCTCACTCCACCCTCTGCCAACCCTCCGAGACGCTGCCCGGCCATCGACGTCACCCCCATCATGGCCTACACGACCAAGTACCACGAGGACTCGGATGCCGATGACGAGTTCGAGCGCCAGGGCATATCTAGCCCGACCCTACCCGCCGAGTACGAGAGCTCCCCCACGAGCTCAGGCCCGCTGAGCACCGAACACACGCCCACCACCTTCACCCACTCACGCGACAGCAAGAGCAGCCCGACAGGGCACATAATGGAGTGGAACGAAGACCAGACGGCTGACTTCATCGCGGACCTGGGCCTGGAGCAGTACTCGGATACCTTTGCCAGTAGGTGGCTCCGCGCCCGCGCCAGCTATCCTTTGCTAATGCTTTGTTTGTAGATGAGGGCATCACGGGCGACGTGCTGGCAGCGCTACAGCATGCCGAGCTGAAGGAGCTGGGTGTCGGCAGTGTGGGTCATCGCCTTACCATACTAAAAGCTGTCTACGAGATCAAGATACGGCAGAATGTGCCCATGGACCCGGACGACTACGTCCCCCTGTGTGAGTCCATTGTCTGTTCTATGCCTTTTCACCTCTAATCACTGCCTCAGCCGCGGATACATCAGCGCAGGAAGCGCCGCCAACCCAAGACGACTTCGCCAAGGTCATTCGCGTAGTCCAGGCGCGCGACGAGCGCATACATACGGCTGAGTCGGAGCTGCGACATCTCAGAGAAGACCTCAGCAGGGTCATGGACGAGAACAAGCGGCTACGGGAGGAGATTCTGCCACTCGTGCGCATGCTCAAGGACAACCAACCCCTACCCACTCCTCACGAGCACGCTGTCACATCGCCACCTGCCACCCAAGAGAGATCTGGTGGAAGCAGTCTGTCGCGTAAGTTCTCCACCAAGAAGCTTTTCCTTGGATCCGCGCCAAAGAACCCCTCTCCAACGATCCAAGAACATCGCGCTCTTGTCGATCACTCTTCTTTGGATCCTTCCGCAGCAGCCGTGGCAGCCTCCTCACACCTTACAGCATCTCTCGGTGGCGGCCCGCAACTGTCGCCCAACTCCATTGCGCAACCCTCCCCAACATCTCCCGCATACAACCAAGGACAAAGCCGCCAGTACAACCGCGAAATACCTCGAAGCGCGCACGATCACGACAGCAGCTCAGGGTGGAGTCAAAACAACACATGGAACTCAGACTCGACTGCTGTGTCCGACCGTAATCGCGATCCCCGCGCTACGCCCGCACCACTGTCGTCACGACCGATGCGAAACAACGCTGCACCAACGCCGAACCCTGACGATCGCGATCGTGACCCACCACTCTCTGGTGGCTCAAGCTCAATGAACGCCTCCACATCCAATCCCGCATCTACCCCATCTACGAATCCGCAAGTCGAAATATTCAAGTCGTTCCGAGTGTCCATCGACGATCCGTGTCACAAGGTGCTGCCAGTTGCGCTCAAAAAATACAACATCACGGCAGACTGGCGGCAGTATGCTTTGTACATTGTACACGGTGACCAAGAGCGATGCCTGGGACTCAATGAGAGGCCGCTGATATTGTTCAAACAACTTGACAAAGAAGGTCGGAAACCGATGTTCATGCTTAGAAAGCACGCAGCACCACAAGAAGGCCATGTCAGCACCGTGGGTGGAAACGATGTACGGCCCGTGAATCCGCAGACAGAGAGCTTCGGATGGGGCAACCAGAATAGAGGGACACCGCTTCCTGGAGGTGTCTTGTAGACAGGCATAACGCTACAGGATAGAAGACGATTACTGCCTGGTAGAGTTTGACACTGTAAGACTATGGGCGTCACTGAGAACGGCATCATGCGATACTGCGGTCGATCGAGCGACGCTGTTGTGGACGACGTCACCGCAGCATGTATGGAAGGAGGAACTGTTCTCTGAACATCGCCTTACGATCAGGGATCATACAAGATGTCATATCTACAACATCTTGCCTGGCGTGGATGACGACATTCGCTCATCCAGCGCAATTAGCGCACCCACAGCATGATCGGAGTTTCGGCGCAATCACGGCCCTTGTACTATTTACATTCATGCCTTGGGAGAATAGGCTGCGGTTTCACGGTGACTTTGCTGAAGAAAAAGGGTAGGTTCAGAAGTGGTGGGTGGATCAGGATGAAGAGTTTTAGATGATACTATTCTGTGTGGATGGCCATATAAGGAGAACTCCTACAGTGAGCATCTGCCGATTATTCCAAACACGTTCGAGGCGTATAGCGAGCGTTGTCGTGTCGTATTACGTTCTTCCTTCCAAATGCAACAATGTGTTGATTTCTGCGTTTGATCCACGAAAAGTCACTCTCCGTGTGGGCATTGTAGCTCAATCCCCATCGTAACCTCGCCGTTTTCGACATCTCTCAATGTCTTGCCATGTCCTGCCATATCCGTGTTGATGTGTTGGCCTCGAGTCATGGAACATGCGTCAAGCGTGATTGTGCCTGCATATATGTGACACGTCATGATGCAGGTACCGAAAGTTTGTCACATCAATCGCTACGGGGTGGGTTTGGTTTTGTCTTGCTGCTATTCTGGATCGCTACTATTTTCGCCACGTCTGAGGAAGGGAAGAGGATATATTTAGCTACACTGGCTCTTTTCGGCCGGACCACTGCCGCTGCATCTAGATTGTGGTGGGGCTCTATGTAGGTGAGCATAGCGGCGTTGTGATGTCGTCCTCAATGGTAGATTTCGCTCGTGAGCGTGTAGGCGGCTGGCAGTAACAAGACAGGGAGGTTTTGATATGAACAACTGTTTCTTCCGTTGACTTGCATCAAAAATCCTTGTGGATCCCTGGAGGAATATATCTTCGTTCTTTTCGTCCAAAATGAATAAACATTGTACCTCTACTCAGGATCCTCTCTTCCATGTCAAGCACGCTTAGTCTTGCTCTGAAATCCACCTCATGGGTATCTCAATGACGATTGCCGTCGTCTTTCTAACAGGCTGAGGCTTCTCTCTCTTCTTAGTCTTCTCTATCTTCCATCAAAACGGCTTGGCTGCCTTTCTCGCCTCTGCTTTCCCACTCACTGGGTCCCTAAATTCCTTCCAACTAACCGGATGCATGACCCTACCTTCTTCACTTCTTGCCAAGACAACACCGAATTCATTTCGATCGGTAGCAACGTAGTAATTGCCGCTGTCGCCCAAACTAATCACCGTGCCCCTCACCAAGTCACCGACCCGGAAGCTCTCTTCAATCTTTATCTTGTCCTTCTCTGTAGCCCGTATATCTTCGCGCCGAATCTGTGCTAAAAACGCTTCGCGGCAAACTGCATCGTCAATGACAAGGATCTCTGCGCTGGCGAAGCGTGGGCCGAGACGCGTTATGCGGACTAGGACTGTGCTGTTGACCGTTGGGAGGAGTGGTACGCCGCCGCCAGAATTGGGACCGAGAATTCCAGGATCAGTGGAGGTGGGCGGGCGCGTTATAGAGAGCAGTGGTGCGAGTTTGGTGGATTTGGAGGACGTGTTCGTGGTAGGGTGTGACGGTGAAGAGAAGACGGGTCCAGCTATTGAGGCATAGATCTGTGAGTCGTGAATGTGCGTTCCTGGACCGGGACTGTATTTGTCGACACTGCCAAGCAGTTGTCCTGGTAGCGCTACTGGAGGGAGCGCCATTATGGTGGTGGATGGTAGGTGTGTCTCGTTGAGCCTGTGCTCAGAAAAGTCTATGCAGTTCGATTTGACTGACGGTTCTAGTCGCAAGGTGGCGGTACGTTGCTTTCTATCTTTAGTATGTGAATCGGTTCGCGATGTGGTACATCGGCTGCGTTGTCTTGTTTTTGTGTCTGAGTCTGGGCGAGATTTCGTGGGCGTGGTATTGAAGCTCTGATGATTGGTGTCGCATGCTGGGATTATACACTTTTTAGCTGCGGAAGCTTACGTCATTCGCCTAAACTTACCGCCAACTAGCCATGTATGTTGCTTGAAATCACGTAAATGCCAGCAAGACATGCTCGATTCCAACTACTAGTTATTACACTACGATGTTTGCTGTGAGGCTGCGTATCTTGCGCGCTCCTGGCGCTAGACCTGCGCCCCGGCCGAGGCCTTGATGTTCGAATCATACAATCACTTCCGCATACACAAAGCAGAAGAACGCCGGTTTTGTACCAACCATGTATCTTAGCACCTTGCTCCAATCGCCGAGCCATGCAATCCCACGCAAAACAGTCATGAAAATCATTCGCTCATGGTAACATTCCGATAGAAGACGTGCCCGATCTGGCCCTCAGATAGGTTCATACGTGTTCCCTCTGTTCTGGATCTGACTCTACGGTCTCTACGGTCCGGCGACTAGACGGCTTGGTAGAGGAGTAAGGGTTCGCCGATGTTTTCTATCTCGGGAATAGTGCACTTGAGGTCAAAGGCCTTTGATAGCACGATCTTGAAGATCTGAGCTAATGTTAGCACAGGGCCGGCGATTGAAACAGTAGCCTCTCACCTTCTGCACGTTGATACTATGACTAGTCGAGCTGAAGATCAGACTGGCCTTCATTGCTCGCGCAAATCGTTTAGCCTAGGCAATGTTAGTCTGGTACTGTCCTTAGCCCTAGCAGGTGAGGTGTACCTGGTTGGAAATCTCCTCCTGTTCTTCTCGTGGGAAGTTGACAAAGTGGTCGTACTTTGTGCCGACCAGAAACGGGATGGCAGTCTTGTTGAAGCCGCGTCCCTGTCGGTACCACTCCTTGATGGAGTTTAACGTGCTCTTCCGTGTCAAGTCGAACATGAAGAGTATCGCAACGGCGTCGTTGCAGACCAGCGGCAACATGTTGACGAATTCGCGTTGACCGCCTAGATCCCAGATGGAGAAGGTGATCTCGGTGTTTCGAATCGAGATGGTCTTTTCCATGAAGTTCACACCTGGGGTTGTTAGAAGTTGCATTCTGTGGAACATGCTTGTGTAGCTCACCGAGTGTTTGGATGTAGTCTTCGTCCCAACTGCCCTCGACGTACTTGACCATCAAGCTGGTCTTTCCAATCTGCGCGTCTCCAACCATGCCAACTTTGATGACAACGCTGGCGTTCTTGGCAGCCTCTTGCTGCTGCTGCTGCTGTTGTTGTTGTGCGCTCCGTGATTGCTCTTGGTACGAGTTGGAGCGCGTGTTGCCCTCGGAGGTTGGGTACCGTCCCATCTGCGAGCTCGGCCGCGAATGCGACTGGCCCATATGTGTCTCTTTGTTGGCGTCGTAGTAGCCATGTCGCGGAGGCGTGTCGGCGTCTGAGGAGGTGTTGAAACGCGAGCCGTTGTGTGTGGTGTACTGGTACGCGGTGTCTGAGTACGAGGTTGAGGGCCGGTGAGGCTGCTCGTAGGGGTTGGGGCTGTTGTTCAGGCTGGTGTTCTGGCTGAGGTCTGGGAGGGGCGTGACAGTCGAGGCGGTGATGGTGGAGCTCATGCTGTCGTCGGCGCCGTCCATGGTCTGGTCCATGTGCTTCTGCGCTTCCTGGTCGCCTTGGACGGGCACTTGCTCGGGCAGTACTGGCTCGGGCTGCAGCTGCTCAGGCGCGACTTGCACGGCAGGTGCGAAGGAGGCCTGCTGCGCGGGTTCCTGACTCGGGTACTCTGGCTCCATGACTACTATGTCTCCGTGGCCCCGCGGTCCGTGACTTGAGCTGAAAGCGCCCTGGCACGCGTCGAGACGGTGAACGCAAGCGGAGCGTGTATTTTCTTCTTTCTTGGCGACTCTCCTGCTCGTACAATTGTATGCCAACTTCAGGGGGCGTCTGTGTATTATGGGTGCCGTCTCGGTCTTGTTGACCTAGCATGTACGCGATGCGATTGGACTGGGCGCAGTGTTTCCCTCTACTGTTAGGTGCGAGGGGGGATGCCGTCACTTAGCGCCGCCCGATACGCCGATCGATAAGCCTCAAAAAACATTCGGCGGGACAATTTCCATTGACAACTTTTTTTTTAACGACATCGTCCAAGACACCCAAAGCACACACCACGCGCTTTCCACACCATGGCGAAACGACCCGCAGACTCGGAGCAAGAGCAGGAGGCAATCAAAAATGGAGAGCGTCCCATGGAGATTGACCAGCACAACGACGTGGGCGACTTCGAGGACGAATTCGAGGATGAGTTCGAGAGCGAGGACGAGATCCTAGAGGCCGGCGTAGACGGACGGCCGGACGAGGAGCGCGAAGCAGAAGAGCGCGAGAGTATGTTGCGCACGATCAAAGGCCTGGAGCCCACCACTAACGCCTCCAGGTGGTATGGATGTTGACCAAGATACCTTCATTCCTGGTCGACACAAACTCTCCCCAGGCGAGACACTGAACCCCGATCTTTCGACATATGAGATGCTCCATGCGCTCGAAGCCCCATGGCCCTGTCTATCATGCGACATCGTACCCGACAACCTAGGCGTAGACCGCAAAACATACCCCGCAACCGTCTACTCGGTCGCTGGCACACAAGCAGCGCGAGGAAGGGACAAAGAGAACCAGATCATGGTCATGAAGATGAGCAGCCTGTCGCGCATGGAGAAGGAGGACGAAGAGGACGACGACGAGGATTCCGACGACGAGGCTTCAGACCCCATCCTCGAGACCAAGTCGATACCCTTGACCAGCTGCACCAACCGCATACGCGCCCACCAAACACCACAAGCAACATCTGCACAGCCTCCTACAACCCTGACTGCTGCCATGACCGAGTCAGGACAGGTTCTGATCCACGACGTTACTCCCCACCTCACAGCCTTCGATACCCCAGGTACTACCATCTCGCCCACACAAAACAAGCCTGTCTGCACGATTCGCACCCATGGATCCAACGAGGGTTATGCGCTAGATTGGTCGCCAATCATACCAGAGGGCAAGCTCCTGACGGGCGACTGTACTGGAAAGATCTTTGCGACGACACGGACACAGGGTGGAGGTTTCGTCACAGACACCACACCGTATACCGGCCATAGTGGCTCGGTAGAGGAGCTCCAGTGGTCACCAACTGAGAAACATGTCTTCTCCTCCGCGTCAAGCGATGGCACAGTTAAGATCTGGGACGCGCGGTCAAAGTCACGGAAGCCTGTACTCAGTGTGCAAGCCTCAAAGACAGACGTCAACGTACTGAGTTGGTCGCATCAAACCGCACATCTTCTCGCTACCGGCGCAGATGATGGCGAGTGGGCAGTTTGGGACCTGCGGCAATGGAAGCCCTCTACAGACATGTCAAACGACAAGAAGCCTTCGCCAGTTGCATCGTACACTTTCCACAAGGAGCAAATCACTTCGGTCGAGTGGCATCCTACAGACGACAGTATTGTGCTTGTTTGCGCTGGTGACAACACCCTTACTCTGTGGGATCTAGCTGTCGAGCTCGACGACGAAGAGAGCAAGTACACAGCTGGCGTGCAGGATGTACCACCGCAACTACTATTCGTGCACTACATGGAGCAGATCAAGGAGGCGCATTGGCATCCGCAAATCCCGGGCGCCATTATGGCCACAGGAGGATCTGGATTTAACGTCTTCAAAACAATCAGTGTATGAGGCAGATTCATGTCTTGCCAACAATTCAAAATTTCTCGCCTTTGTTTCTCTCCATTCCAGCGCGTGGTTTCCTCCTTTGTTACGCACTATCATACCTGCTCTTCCTCCCAACCCGGTTGACAAAGAGCTAGAGCCGACCGAGCCAATCATAGAAGTATCTTCAAGTTCACATTCAGACTCACCTCTATCACCATCTTCGGTAGCACGTCGCCCTGTCACATATTCTATTGCCTTTGTCAACTTTTCTATGCAGGCGTCTCATACCCAGGACGAAATGGCACAAGTTGAAAACAGTAAGAGCACGACCTTGCATCATAATTCGACTCCTCATGATCAGCTCACTATACAACACCCATCTCCTCTCCCATACAAATCCTCCATGCTACGTCGTCAATTTCCCTTTCCGACAGAAGCCTCACATGTCCTGCACTCCAGTACCATTGGAAAATCTTTTAACTACAACCACCCCTCGTCACAACCAGCGCGCATGACAGATATTTCATATCCCGAGTCTTACCTCCGCACTCCTATATATGCGTTGCCCTTCCTACATCCGAAATGGCACGCCAAAACTGATACAAGAGAGTTTTATGAGGTTACAAGTCCAATTTGGGAGGAGCATGATGCTGAGGCGGGTTACGTGAACAGTGTGGAGGAGGTCAAGGAGAGTGTAGAGGGTTGTAATGATGTTGAAAGTATCGAGGGAAAGAGTCGGAAGGACGGCTGGAGAAAGACGAAGAGGAGTCTGGATAGCATTGATGGCGCAGATGATGACGACATCAAGAGAAAGAGGTTCAGGGATGCATAGGAGATATAGAGAAAAGCACATAATTAATATCACGCTGCTGGGACGTTCCAACGCAAACGACATGAATTTTTGTAGTTCAATTAATGCCTCTATAAAGGTCTCTGTATGGGCCGCACCGCCGTCGTCAAAGCACCAGGCATCGGGAACAGCGGTGTGGACGCCTCGTTCATTTCGCGAATCTTCTTGATCAGATTGCTGTTGTGTTGTTAGTTTCCACATCATTGTACTAAAGGCTTCACCTTACCTGACAGGGAGGTTCAACCTATCCTGTTCTCTCCAAAGGATACCTACAACCTTCTCTCGCCCTCTACTGTGATCCTCTAGATGCTCTGTGATCAACTGCCTGCCCAATTCCTTACTACATCCATAAATTTTCTGAGTGCAGCCGTCGAAACTACAAATCCACGAGTCGCGCGGGCCGTTCGGTTCGTAGGTTGGTAATGGTGTTGATACTATCGGTGGTGATACCATTAGTCTGGTATTCGCTGACGATGACGCTGGCCTAACATGCGGGGGGACGTTGGATGGCCGGTAACGGAGTGGTAGAGGTGGCACAGCGGTGGCTTCTTCCAAATCCGAGTCGCCGGTTGTAGGAGGAGAGTCGGGAGCCGCAGATGCACTGGCTGTACGTTTCCACCGGCCTCTTTCTTCTTGGTCCGCATCCATGTCATCTAGTTTTCTCTTCTCACGACTTGGCGATAAGGCTTGCGTCGGTGTGTCAATTCCCTCGTCTTCCTCGCTACTGGTCGTCTCGTCGCTTTGCTCGGCTTCCGAATCGTCACTTGCTGGTACAGGCGCCTTCCCCTTCCCCCCCTTCTGTCTGCCTGGCTTGATGCTAATCCCTTTACTCTTGCCAGAAAACTTTCCACTCCTAGGTCGTAGCACAGATAGCCGACCTTGCTTCCGCCTACCTGGTGGCCTGCGTACAGGTGTTGTTATCGCGTCTTCTTCGTCAGATGTGTCTGAAGATTCATTCTCTCCATCTCTGAGAGTTCCGTGATCTCTCCGTGGTTTCAATTCGACACCTTCAGCTCGTCTTTGTTCGGCTGCAGATAGGTCGTGTCCAGCTGCTAGTTCTTTGTAGATCGGCTCGGAAGCAAAGAATTGTACGGCCTTCCGGCGGGGATGTTCCATCATGTAACATAAATTTTGTGCATGTACCAAAAGCACGTTTTTTGCAATTTCCACCTCTTCAATCTCGTACCGCCTGACAACAAGTTCTGCAACCCGATCTACCGTGATTTGGTTTCGGCCTGCCCGCAGAACCCGTTGATTCACTGCTTTCTGCATGAATTCGAAGAGAGCGGCTGCCTCCCACCAATTGTCATCCTTCTTTGGCGCTTCTACTGGCTTCGGTATCGTAACCTTTCCGTGGGCTGTCTGTGCTTTCGCATTTGTTTGCGTTGACTTGGAGCCTGTTGTGGTTGCCGACGTGAATTTGGAAGGTTGCGCTGAACGTTCAGGCTGGATTTGCGAATAGCGGCCCTCGATACGTGCTTTGCAATTGTCGAAGTCTTTCTGTGCGTACATTAGATTAAAACTATAGGTTCTTTTGGGTATCACTTGCCGGAAATCTGCGTCTAAAACGTTGATATAAAGGCGTGTTACTCCAACTTAGTCCTTGGGCCTTATTCAAGAAGCACATCATAAGAAAAAGGTGATGATGGTCGAAAATCCTCTCAGCTGTAGCTACATCGCTGCAAGGGAAGCGCTCGTCCTCTGCGTACTATGCTATGTCAGCGTTCACCTTGCTCGAAGTTTACATGTTCTCGACTTGTACAGACCTCTTGAAAGACCAATTCTGCACTAGGCCCACTACTCTTCTTCCGCGACTCGCTATATATGTCGGTGACGAAGTATAGAAGTTCCACAGCCTGGACCATCTCGTTGTATATCTGACTGTACTGCGCCGCCGGCCGTATTTCGAACCAGCCTGCGTTGCCTTGCGCCCAGATTACATATGCTCCGTCAGTCATTTCGCCGTAGGAGAAGCGTGTTACGTTTCGCAGTTCGATGTCTGTGGGCTTATAGGGTTTCTTCAAGACTGGGATTGCGTCAGCCAGAGCCGCTTCCTTTATGGTCGCGTGTATAGGCCAAGAAGCCTCGCATACAGTATTTCAGCTGGCTACGCGCAGGGCTTTCTAATCGCCCTTCCACCCTGAGTGGTGTGTCTGCATATGCAGCAAGAAGACTCGCAGGTTTGCCATTGTTCTCGAAGACGATTCGCGCATCGCTCAAGATAAATATCTCCCAGTCGTCGGAATTGGTATTGGAGGCGTCGAGTGGCCGCAGTATCTCAGATTCTGGGTCAGGCATTTTGAGTATCAGCGCGAGATATGTTGCATGTTGTGATGCTGCGTGAACAGAGCTCCGTGATGCAAGCCTAGGCGAAAGGAGCAGCGGGGATCCTGCGCTGCGGGCGCGAAGCGCGAGACGGCGATCCAGCGCGTCCAGGGTCAATGGCACGTGTGTTATCGATAGCCGAGTAAGTTGCGTCATGCGATACCAGTGACTTCTTTCACTCAACAAAGGTAGCACCGCATACAAGGAAAAACTGGACAGGTACTGAAACAACAGGCCCTATCTTACAGCCTACATTAGCCCCTAGCAAGAAATCTTGCAAAGATTATTAGCATTGTAGGCTTCTAGCTTCTCTATCTATATCTACACAGGTCTTAACATGCTTGTTGTAGCAGGAAGGTGTATCTTGCTCTAAAGGAATATTCACAACAGGCCCTACCTTACAGCCTACATTAGCTTCTGACAAGAAAACTTACGAAGATTATTAGCACTGTAGACTTCTTGCTTCTCTATCTATATGCAAACTACACTAACAATGGGTATCTTAAAACTAAACAACAACTCATCTAATCGTCTCGTCATAGTGCGGCTTCCTCAGCAGCCTCCTGCTTGCGTATCTGCTCCTCCAATCGTTTCTTCTCTGCTTGCCTCAATCTCATCATGGTGATCTCTTCTAAGCTTGGCGTCTTCGGACTAAAAGAGAATTTTGGTGTTCCTGATGGCGTGCCTCCTACACCCTTCCCTATACCAGGTCCAAACGATGTTCTGAAAGACTTGCTCTTCGGCGTGGATAGGGGCGTTGACGGTGCTGGTGGCGCATCATTGGTGGTTTGCGATTTGAGGTCAGGTTCGCCATTCACCCAAGATATAGATTCCAATGACGGGTAGTCGGACTTCCCGTCCAAGACAGCGGCATGCGCATGGTCAAGACGCGTGTACGTGATGAACACAATAGCGATGGTCTTGCGATGCTTTTCTCCTGAAGGTCGAATCTTCTTGTCTTTGCCCATGATTATAATGTCAATCTTGCCGTATTTCGCAAACATGCTCGATATCTTGTCCTTGTCCCAAGCTGCAGTCTCGCCTTCTCGCTGAAACTGAACCTTGACTGTGCGATCGATCTCGGCCGACTCTCCGGGCTTGGGCGCTTGCGGCTCGGGGCTCTTTTCGACATCCATGAAGCTCGCCTCAGCCTCTTCTTTGCGTTCCCTTTCCCTACGTTCTTGGAGTTCCTTTCTCCGCCTCTTACCATCTTCGGCTAGTCTTTGTATCTCTTGCTCCCTCCTCTCTGCCTCGTTCATCTGTTCTGCCCTCTTCCTCTTCAGGTTGGGCACCTCTCGTTCTCTTCTCTCCAAGTCATCCTTCATCTTGCGCCGCCGGCCATCCAATAGCTCATCCTGCAGCGCCTTCTCCCGTCGCCTAGTACGCGCACGGTCATATTCGCCCTTGAGTTTCTCATCAATGAGGATATCGCGTGCCCATCCGAGGTAAATGAAGCGGTCGGCGGCATCTTTATTGTCGGGGTTCTTGTCGGGATGGTATCGTATTGAGGCCTTACGGTAAGCCTTCTTGATCGTAGCTTCCGGCGCATCGAAGGCCACACCAAGCAACTCGTAGAAGTCCTCAGTGGTGGACTTTGCAAGATCTTCCAGATCCTTGTTGTTGTCGCCCATTCTTGAGATGCTAGTGAAGACGCGTGGGGATTTGGGAACTGGTTGGGGTAGGTTGTCGCGTAAAAAAGTGTGTGAGAGAGTGAAAGTCGCGAGCGGAAAGTGAGTGGCACAAGCGCGAACGGCTGCAGGCTGCAGAAACATGTGAGATGATCGTCCACTAAACCGATTTTAGATTAGCGTGTGCCGACGAGCTACCCAGAAGACATCTTGGTAAAGCTGACCTTAAAGGTATTCATAGGTTTTTACGTTGTAACTTGAGCAGGAAAGTAGCAGTGTATACATTTAGGATACATTATCGGGGATAGGCATAACTCGGAAAATACGAGCTACTTCGTATCTTCCGGGGCCGTTCCAAAGATTTCACCCACCCAGCTAGAGCTAGAGCTAGAGCTCGAGCGTCCCTTCTTTCACCTCGCTAATGTTGGTCGCGTCTTCAATCAAGCGCACGATCATGACTACTCCCCCGAAAGAGAGCCGCAAGGTGCTCGAAGGCATCTTCGCCATCAACAAACCGCAATGGGCCTCCTCTGCCGGCGTCTTGCGCGACCTCCAAGACCATTTCTCCCGTTCGCCTATCTTCGCACCCTGGCTCGAAGCTCAGAAACGCTCCCTCATCATCGCGGACGCTAAGCCGAAGCACCTCAAGAATATCAAGGCTAAACTCGGCCATGGCGGCACACTCGATCCAATGGCCACTGGTGTGCTGATTGTCGGCACGGGCAAGGGCACGAAATGCCTGCAACGCTTCCTTGAGTGCACAAAGACGTACGAGTGTGTGGTACTGTTTGGTGCAGCAACAGACAGCTACGATGCTGTGGGCAAGGTTGTGAGCAAGGCAGACTACGAGCATGTTACCAAGGAATTGGTCGAAGAGAAGCTGGCGCAGTTCCGCGGCAAGATCATGCAAAAACCGAGTGTTTTCTCTGCGCTAAAGGTCGATGGCAAAAAGATGTACGAGTACGCGAGAGAGGGCAAGGACATACCAGAGGTGGCTGCAAGGCCGGTGGAAGTTGAAGAGCTTGAGCTGGTCGAATGGTTGGAGCCAGGAAGTCATGACTTTGCCTGGCCAAAGGAGGAGGTGGATGGCGCTGAAATGGAAGGAGCAAAGAAGCTGATGGGCATTCGGAAAGAAGATGCAAAAGTCTACTCCGACACAGCAACAAGACGAGGGCGAAAGCGATCACGGTCACCAGAGAACGACCATGTCGAGGGCGCAGGGCAGCAGCCGAAGATACTTAAGAAGGACTCTGAGCATGCCATGTCTGGCGCTCTACCAACAGAAGAGGCGTCTCCTGATGCAGCTTCTGCTGAGAACAACGCTATGGAAGTCAGTGCTGAAGCACCAGTATCAATAAAAGAGAAGGCCACGGCGTCTGTAGAGCAAGCAGAAGCAGCAGAAGACCCATCAACAACCCAGAAACCCGACATCGAAGCTACCAAAACTACCACATCAGCAGCCATATCCACTTCAACCGCGCAACCCCCAGCAGCCCGGCTCCGTATGACAGTGACGTCAGGTTTCTACGTGCGCTCTCTTTGCCACGATCTTGGTCTAGCCTGTAACTCTCTCGGCCTGATGTCCTCTCTTATCCGCTCTCGTCAGGGTGACTACACGCTCGGCCAGAACGTCCTGGAATACAGTGACCTGGAAGACCCATCGAAGTGGGAGCCTCAGCTCCAGGAGCAACTTGAAAAGTTCATGGAGAAAGAGAACTGGGAAGTCGAGGAACTAGATGACGATGAGAGTTGGGAGGCGAGAAAGAAGGAGTTGATGGAGAATAGGAAGGATGGTGATCGGGAGAAGAGCTACAGGGGTGGTGGAAGAAAGTGGAACTCAAAGGGTAAGGGGAAGTATGGGCGGAACGGGTACTCGAAGAACATGGACGGTGGACGAAAATGAGTAAGTGGTAGTACTATGACTTGCATTATGATACCCCATGAAACCAATAACAATGACTATGGTATTTTGCTACAAAACTGGAAAAAATCTCGGTGCGTATGGATGGGTCGAACATGCAACCAGGGCATCAATATCAGACGCTTCAGCATCAAACCCCAGTTGTCGAGTTTCTTCGACTCAGACTCTGTCTCAGACTTTGAAAACTCCTCTGCACCTCTGTCACAGCGTCATCCGCGCCTTGTAACCCATCTACCTCATCTTTCCGGTCCTCGTGGTTGATGAACAAGAATGAAAGCACCATGATCGCTGCACCGACCCAATATAACGCTGACGCATACTGTGCATCCAATACCATCTGTCCCACAAGACTGCACGGGATCGTCAGACTAAGACCAACAGTAACAATCAGCGGAGAAGTAAGCAGCATGGCGTATGCCCAGCAAAAATCCGATACGAGAGATGACGCACTATTGATAAGTACGATGTTGAGGATGCGGGATGTCGGTGGTAGTTCAAAGGGTTCGATACCAGTCAAATGCAGAATGATAAAGCCGGGCCACAGCAGCAGGACATTAGCCAAACCGACGAGACCGAAGAAAAGGGGCATGTTGACCCTTGTTTCATCGCCAATCCGGGCTTTCATGAAGACGGTATAGAAACCGTACAGTACGGCAGATACGAATGCCATAACGTCGCCGATGGCTAGCTCTTTTGGTGTTTTGTGTGGGAAAGAGCCTCGATTCTCGTCTGTCTCGCCGGACACATCGACCATGGAAATGAGGGCTACCCCGCCCAGAGAAGCGAGTACACCAATGAGTTTGAGTAGCGTGAAGCGCTCGACGCGCATTATGGATCCGAGGAGCAACGTCCAGATTGATGATGTGGAAGAGAGGATAGTTGAGCTGGCAACGGTTGTGTATTCCAAACACGCGGCCGCAAAGTAATTTGCCAAGAACCAGAGGAGACAGAATTCCAATGCCAGCTTCGCTGTGTCTTTCAAGGTCATGCCTTCATCCACGTCCTGCTCCCCATTCTTCCCGTTACCAAAGCTCTGAGAGCCGTGGAGAGAGGACGATAAGAGAACTTCGGCTGCCTCGTCGTTTCGCGACTTGTTCGAAGACGAGAGTGAAGACGCAGATTCGTGGTCGCGAAGCAATTTCCACTTGCCTGCTCGCCGTTGTAGAAGATCGCGAATATGTGCGAGGATGGGTTGACGGTGTTGTGACGCGCTGTTTGGACGGTGACGATCGACCCATAGGTGGTGGACGAACATGGGGAAAAGCGGTATAATGAAGAAGGTGGTATTTATATAGGTGACAAAGTAAGGTTTCGAGTATGAGTTGTCTGCGAATATTGTCTGCGTATTGATCAGCTACGCGCTTACTACCACGATTGCCTCCATGCCATCCGAGGTGGACTGAGATACGTACACTCGCGAGGAAATTACTAGCTGTCCATAGGAACACTGTAGCTAGTAGGAGGGCTATTCCCACTGCATGTCTCACTTTGCTTGTCCAAGCTCCCCTCTTCTCGCCCTCAGCCCACTGACTGGCCTCACTTGCCGGGCTCTCAAGGTAGTCTTCCCCGCGCAAGTACGCGCTTTCGTCGGAGACGTCGCTAACGCGTGGGCTGAGTGGCGTCGTCTCGACATCCTCTTCTCTTCTGGGTATCATATCGAGAGGAAGTAGTAGAAATTATCGTAGGTTACGTAGGGCAGGTCGGTCAAGGAGGGTCTTCGGCAATAAGCGGGCTCACGGTCGGGGTACGTGTTGAGGCATGGAAGTGGATGCGAGCGCCCATGAAATTAATCCTTCGCGGAAGAAAGCTGAATGTGAAAAGGGAGAATGTAGTTGCACGGGGTGGTTCGGCGTGACACGCGGACACTTGATAACGATGTGCCTAAGTCCCGGGGGGTTCGGGGGTTTCATGTGTCTCAAGAGGCCGCGGGAAGCGTGGCGGTGCCGCCTTAGCCACAGCCCCACGTCATCACACGTCCAGGTGCAAGTACATGGTGCATGAATACATTGTATATTGGTAGGCTGCTATATGAACAGGCAACGATAAACCCATATTTGATGATGATTTACAGGAAAACGAGATGCTCCTGCACAAAAAGCATGTCCAACACCAAACTCCATGCGAACTCCAGATGCAAGACGGCATTGCGGCAGATGGGGGTCCACTGTCGGCTCTCATGAACAACGCTTATTTCGTAATGGCATACACTAGCATGCGCAGCCGCCTTCGTTGCCCTTGAGGTCGATCGGAATTGTCTCGGGGAAGTCGTTGCTGAAGTCACCTACGTCCTCCTGTGCTAGGGCTTGTCGTGCGATAACTACGCATGTCAGCTTCCGAACTCCGAGTCTCGGAGTGGTAACGAAAACAGCTTACCTTCGAAAGCTTGCTCAACGTTGATGGCCTCTTTAGCACTGGTCTCGAAGTAGGGGATACCGCCTTTCGATTGGCAGAACGTCATGGCGCGTTTAGATGAGATCTGCATGTGTTAGATTATAGCCTTTGACGGCTGCTGGAGACACTCACCATCCTTTTGCTTTCCTCCACGTCGATCTTGTTGCCAATTACGACCTGTTTCGGTCAGTATCGATGCCATCCTAAGCTATCCACATCTACCTACAAATGGAAAACTCTCTGGATCCATTGGGCTAGCCTGAACGAGGAATTCGTCCCTCCAGCTGTCTAGAGTGTCGAAACTCTTTGAATTGTTCACATCGTATACGAGCACGCAGCAGTCGGCGCCGCGGTAGAAGGCAACACCAAGCGATTGGAAACGCTCCTGACCGGCAGTGTCCCAGAGCTGTCAAAGTCAGCTTGAACCATTTACTCAACATGGTCTCCACGCACCTGCATGGTCACCAGCCTGTCGTCGACCAGTACTTCCTTGGTCAGGAAATCGGCACCGATGGTGGCTTTGTAGCTGGCGCTAAACTTCTTATTGACCTGTAGACACTGTATAAGCCCAGTCCACACTCTCAAGCTACCGTTCGCATCGTGCATAGCTCAAAGTGGAGTCATCGTACATATTGGTTCATCAAGCTCGTCTTGCCGACCCCGCTGTCTCCGAGGATAATGACCTGCGCGCATCAGCGATGAAAAGCATATACAGTCCAGAGCTGCAGTACCTTGAGGAGGACCTTCTTCCTTGATGCCATCTTGTAAATGGGTATGTGTGTGTGTGTAGAGCGGGAAGACTAGGTACGGCGCGGGCGATTCGAGGCGCGAAGCTCGGTGCTTCGAAGCGGTGCGGAGTAGATTGCGCGGGTGACAGACCGAGGTAGCAGAAGGTAGGCAACACCGGTATCTAGGTTTGGGGAGGCTTGGCGGTGTAGGAAGATCAGTGTGCTGCGTGTATAGCGCAGATACGGTGAGGATATGTGCAGCTTCGTTACCAGAGAGATCGATGATGGTTGATGTCAAGCCTGGGCACGGACGCGACGCTAGCCACCCGTCCCATGGTCTGGTCCAGCCACGCGCCCACCTGACGCTTCTCTTTCACCGGCCTATCCACCAAGTACCCCCACGACACCTCGATACGAAATGACACTAACAGCACAGCACAGCCGTCATGCCTATCGTGCTGGTACATTGTCTAGTACAAAGGTATACTTGGAAACCCTCAGAGATTGCCACGTAACATCGAGGTGGCACTTACACTAATCCAATTGTGTTTTACTGCTCAAGCTCATGATTCAGCGCGTCTGCTTCTGGTTCAAACATCCTCGCATGTACCATGACAGGTTATATTCAAGACGCACACAACCTCTTCGATGCCTCACGTGTTCATTTTCGCGATTGCAATCTCAGATATCTGGACCACGGCAGGAATAAGCCAGCCGGATCATTTTACTGATATGACATGTTGATCTGAGAATCGCAAAGCAGAATCATTCAGCTGGTACATGCTGAAAAGGTGGACCACAAGGAAAGATAATTGATGGTAACCAGCACTCTTGATTCCATCATCCGGGAACGACTGCTGAGCACGAGGCGTACAAATGGCAAACTATTACTCGTGAACTTGGGCATTGCGAGAGACATATATACGTAGGGGCTATCACAGTGACTCAGATCCTCTATTCATGATAAAGTAATTGTTGTTGAGAGAGGCTGTGCGCAATGGTCTCATTGATAGACTCGGAGTTGCGGCGGAGATTCTAATGAGAAGCTCAGGATGGCAAATATTTCTTAACTCGTGATGCCGCCCATCGGTTCTTGACTTCGTGAAAGCAAAGGAATGGATTCAGTCTGGTCAAAGCAAATACTTCTTTCTTGGTAGAGCATCTGATCGCAACGCTCAATGTAGTCCTGATCGCATCGGCTTCATCTCTCTTTCACACGAAATCTTCAAATTCCTGACCCAAGCCCACATCTGCAAGAGAAAATTGCAAGAACAGAGTGAGCGAATAGACAACAAAGCCAAGGAAGACGACTGTGTCACAAAAGAGGAAACTCTAAGTAGCATCGAAGAAGGAAAATTGCTTAAGTGCGACGAGGGATATGAGAAAGTCATGCATCACGACGTCGAAGGAGAACATGCCGATGTAAGAGAAGAAGAATTTGTACCATCATCTAGTGCTGTGTTTGCCAACTATGCAGCTGGGGCGCTAAAGAGTTGAAAGTAAAGGATCATGTTGCCGATATCGACACGCAAACGAAGCCCCATCTGGACAGCACGGCCTAAGAGAATGCGTCCGACGACGAACAATACACCATTGTCGAAAGCGATCTATCCTGCTGCAATCGATCGATATTCATCATCACAAGTAAGACGCACAATTAGAACGCATAGGGCCTATGTTGGTGTACAAGGTTTAGTAGCTGTGAGGAGTCGTTAGCGGAAGTACGAGGTCCGGCGCTAGCGACGTCGAGTCTCTAACGTGGCGCTCATATCTTTACCCTCTCTCCCATTACAGACAATTTCGCTGCGCGACATAGATGATCAAACTTGTCCCAGTTTAACCTCTGGTGCTCTTGTTGTGCGGATGATGATAGTTTTCCTGATACATACCGTAGACCACGGTCGCTTTGCAGCTTCCCCGTGTGGGGATCCGAATGGTGCCCATGGTTTTGGTTGACGACCAGCCACCGCAGAATAGTATATGATGTCGCATCAGAATCAATGTGTATTCCGACTCTTTCGAACATTCTCCTCTTAACAGTGTTATCGACCTTTACTTAAACCATGTCGCAAACCACCACCACCGGAACGGAAGAGATGAGCCTACCGACAACAATGAGAGCATGGCAATGGTCGACATGTGGTACCACGCTTGAGGAGGCGATAGAGCTCAAAGACTCAGTCCCACTGCCGACATCGAAGTGGCCCCTCACAGCTGGAGAGTCTCTTATTCAAGTTCACGCTGCTGCTCTAAACCCTGTCGACTACAAGCTAGCAGAGCTGCCAGTGGTTGGACGAATGGCCATCCCGAAACCAGCAACACCCGGGCTTGATTTTGCTGGAAGGGTTGTCCAAGAAGGACCCGGCTGCAGTGTTAAGGTTGGGCAGATGGTATTTGGCAAACTCGAGCCAAAGCAACAGTTTGGCACACTCGGGGAATACGTTATCGGTTCAAAAGCTGGGACAGTGCCGATACCTAGTGGCGTGTCTGTAGAGCAAGCAGCAACGCTAGGGGTTTGTGGACTTGTGACGTATCAGTGTCTTGCTCCAAATGTGAGAGCTGGTGACCGAGTGTTCATCAATGGTGGTTCGGGAGGTACGGGAACATTTGCCATACAGATCGCCAAAGCTTTGGGATGCCATGTTACTACAACTTGCTCAGGTAGATATACCAAGTTTGGAACGATAGCGCATCTGCTGATTCTGTCACAGGTGCAAACACCCAACTGTGCAAGGATCTTGGAGCCGATGAGTTGATTGACTATCGTGAAAACGATGTTTCTACTCTTCTCGCAAGCAGCTCGAAGCACTATGATATGGTTCTCGATAACGTCGGCCACCAGTTCGAGCTCTACTGGAAATCCCCCTCCTTCACGAAGCCTGGAGCGAAGTACGTCCAGATCGGGTCCCAGGTCAGCTTGCCCTTCATATATGACCTCGCTTTCCGCTTCTTGGTACCCATGTGGCTTGGAGGCGGGCAACGGCCGTTCTCATTCGGTCTTGCTTCTACAAATTACGATGACTTCATCAAGTTAGGCAAACTTGTCGCGGACGGCAAAGTGAAGCCTGTCGTGGACGAAGTTTTTGCATTCAACAATGTACATAGAGCATACGAGAAGCTCAGGACCGGCAGGGCGAAGGGCAAGATTGTAGTCAGGGTGAGAACCGAATAACGACCGGCCGAATCAAAAGAAATACGTTGCCGCCCTTATGATCAGAAACGAGCTAAGAATATGCTGTTCGATAACCCCTTTTGCGTCCGCGCTGACATACGAACTGCTCACTATGTAGTATCTGAATCGGATGAAGGCTCGCAGAACCTCCCCGTCAGGCATTAGTGTGCAACCCGATGAATTGGGGAAGAGAACAAGGATCATTCCTGATTCGCTCAAGATGGATAGATGCGCCCGTGGCGGCGCTAATGCCGGTTTCAGGCAACGAGGCTGTGCTGGACACTGCCCGAGCGACCTGCATTCAGCTGTGTGCCAATACGAGGATAGATTCCACAACGATATATATGAGTCAACACCACTATTTTACAACGTTTCGTATGAAATTCGACTGCATCGTCAGCCATAGGAACAAAATTACTATCGCCCGTCTCATAGGAAAGTCGTGATTCTTCTACCACGCAATGACTGAGATATCATCGAACCAGATCGGGAAACGAAAACGAAAGTCCAATTCGGAGGATGACGTGGAGTTCCATGGAAGCAAACGCTGTCGAACAGTCAACGACCCAACGTCACCTCTATGTGTGGCTTGCCAAACGATCGATATCGATTGGAATTTTGATGAAGCCTACCGGCATTACAGAGGGAGGAACCTTAACACATCAAACCCCGCCCAGATTCACGAAGCCTATGATCGACGATACTTCTATAATGATGCTTTCCTGGTGCATCAATTTGGTACTCGGCTATCCAGCCCATCAGAGTGTCCATTGTGCAACTTTTTCCGATCCATCAGGGCTCAGCCAGATGCACATGAGCGCTACAAGTTATTAGCGTTTCCCAGTAGCGATGCATGGATTTTCCATGGAGCGCGATTGAAAGAAGCACAGAGAGATGTGAATTGGCAAGACCTTCGAACTCGTCATGATAGAGCTTTCATGGCCGTCGTACCCGATCTTGAGTCTATTCCGCCAACTGCACACGATATCACCTGGCTTGATTACGAGATCCCCGCCGTAGGAGCCGTCTTCCGCCAGCTGGCTGGCAACAGTAGCGACCAGGATCTACTGGGTGCTAGGGAAATTCCGTCCACATTTGATCTTGGGCAGGTACGGATGTGGCTCGATGTATGTCGGAGCGAGCATGGTGACGCATGCAAGCAACGCGCATCATACGAGCCTATCACCCGAGGCTTTCGTCTCATCAATTGTTCAAAAGATCCTCCAGAGGTGGAGGAACAGCCATGGGGGACACCATATGCAGCTCTAAGCTATGTCTGGGGATCTACCTCCGCTGATCTGGACCCTTGGCCAGCGACGGTTATGGACGCAGTCGAGGTCACACGCAAACTCAACTTCACCTATCTATGGGTGGATCGGAGTTGTATAAACCAATCGGATTTGGATGAGAAAGGCTACCTGATCTCGAGGATGACGACGATATACGAAGCAGCGGATTTTACGATCGTAGCAGCGGCAGGAAGCGGTGCTAGCCATGGTCTCCCTGGGGTACGATCGACACCCCGCAGACCGCAACCAAAGTACTATGTCGATAGCGGAAGCTTACTTTTATCAATACTTCCTGATCCGCGGCGAGAAGTAATGCAGTCGCAGTATTGGACTCGTGGCTGGACTTACCAAGAAGGTGTGCTTTCCAATCGCCGCATTGTTTTCACTGAACACCAGACCTACTGGGAATGTCGCAGTATGGCGTCTCACGAGAGCGCAGACATAACGCTGTTCCATACACCTGCAAGCCTCAAAGATGATTCTAATTATCTTCTGGTCGACTTCCTGCTTACTGGCATATTCAAAGGAGGTGCTTTCAGTGGAGGTAGCAATGCGCACCAAGATGATGCTGTTATCTCCAACGACGAGGCATATCGGCTTGATTATGGGTTTCCAGTGGTTAATGAGATCAACGTTAGAGCACAACTGCGAGGGCTGGCTGATCACATGCGTGAATTCACTAAGAGGCGCTTGACGCAAGACACAGATATCCTACCAGCATGTAAGCAATCATACCATGCGAATTGAAAAAGAGACGTATACTGATTGCGCGTACTCAACTGTAGTTCAGGGGATTTGCGGGATGTACGAGCAAACCAAATCTCTAATTATATTCCAAGGAGTTCCATTATGGACAGGCGACATTGCCGGAAGCGCGACGAGCCCTCAAATCACCTTCGCTTTATCGCTATCGTCATGGTATCACCGTGCAAGCCCAAATCATGTTATGTTCATCTCAGAGGCTTGTACACGACGTAATCACCTGCCTTCGTGGACGTGGGCTGGTTGGAACGGTACGGTTAGTTGGCGCTTGCCCCCCGATCGTGAATACGTGGCATATATGAGTGATCTCATTAACTCCACAAGCCCCAATATTGTTTGGGCGGCGAATATGTACCTTTCGCATCCTGAATGTCAGTCTCGAGTTCGACTGCTCGACAGAGACTCTATACGTCGCTTATCAGATGGGATGTTATCAACACTTGAGATCAGAGACCCGTACTTCTTGAATACCTTTTATAGGATCAAAGATGTTGATCGAGAGTGGTCTTGGGGGAAGTTGATTGGAAGGCCCGGTCGTGAAGAAAAAATGTCATACAGTTTTGATAAGGACATGGATTGGTATAGGATGGGTCACAAGAAGGGTCGCCTTGCTTTCACCGCCATGTCGATCGCCATCACCCAGCAACAATGGACCGCCAAGCATGTCTCTGGCGAGTTCATTAGTGTTCTTATATTTGCTGGAAGATTCTGCGATACGGAACATGGAGCGGCACGGTTCCTGACGTTGCGAAAAGTACCTCAGTCTAGTCCCACACTGTGGGAGCGGGTTGGTATACTCTCGTTGACACTTGCCTATCTAGAAAAAGGGGGATGTCGAGATGTCTCTGGTCTTTTCGCCCGGATACCGGCTCGTCAACAAACTGGCAGCAGTATAGTAATCCAATGAATCAGGGACCATATCTCGTGGGCAAAACGTTTATCGGGGGCGGCTTTACTAGTTACGATCAATCGCAAAGACCACTGCAGGAAGATCAGCACGCACCATCCACCTGAATACCAGCAGTATAGCAATCTTTAGGTCAAGATATGAACAGAATTATAATTTCTTGGGCCATTTGGCTACCGCACTACAGTTGATTACCAATCTTCGAGCACAAATAAAGGACTCTCCGCTTCTGTGGCTGCATTAACTTGTATCTTTCTATAGCGCAGCACACCTGACTACGTTTTTAAGTTCTTGCACATAGATGCTCGGTGAAATCACTCTGTGGTTGATTTCTTGATTGGCATGCTAGCTACAACATATTCTATTAGTAACTTCGATGGCGTACTGTATACAAAGACATGGTAAGATTAGTCTGAAATCCAGTTTGAGTACTGACACACTTGGCAACTGAACTATGCACCAGTGATTCTTATCAAATTGCTTTTGGTTACGATGGCAGATGAGCTCACTAGGGGTCGCGAGAAGCTCAATGTATCTACAAGTGCATTGGACTGTACGGAACACGAGAGGTAATCATAGTTGGATGTACGGAAAGATAGTCTAGCCGGACACGGTTATCGAGACGCGGACACGGCCCCAAACGCCAGCAGGAGGAGATGAGCTCCGATTGTTGGTTTCTGAGGATCTCAAGACCACCAATCCGGCCTTGGCTTTCGCGAGAAATCCTTTCCGATCTCCTAGTCTATCTTTGCCTGGTCTCTACCTTTGACAGTATCGTCTTCGATTGTACGCATGGCGCCCGAGGTAGAAAAAGGCTTTAACTCGTCGAATTTGTATACGCTTGTTGCCAACACACGAGTGTTTTAAGTACTTCGGTAGTAAACTTATGGAGCATTGGTACGTCTCACCTACCTTTTCGCACGTTTTGAGCATTAAGGTAGAGATTTTTGCCTACGCGTATACGCTCGCGAGTCGACTGGTAAGCGACAGGGCTAGATCGTCGGCCGATTCCGGCAACTATACCTAAGCCGCAGAGGTTCTAGCACAGCATTGAGAAAACGCCATTTCGCGTCCAGTCTTTGCAAAAAGAGATCAGATTGCCATAAAATGCTTCTACGTCCAGCACGCACCTGCACACGGTCACTCCACACATCAACACGCGCATTTGCGGCCCGACAATCCATATACCCACCGAACGACGCTTCCCGAAACCGGCAAAACCTAGTTCCTAAATTTTCGACCAAACAGTCATCACTGAATCTGAGCAGACGATCCATAGCAACCTCAGTACCTCGACTTCAACAAATTGGCTCCGCAGAACGGATCTCAACATCCAAGATGGCAGGTGACGACCACTACCTTACTCTGTCATGCCCCGATAAAGCAGGCATTGTGTATGCTGTCACGGGTCTCTTAGCGAAGGAAAACCTCACCATTCTGGATCTACAGCAATTCTCCGACCCAGACTCCAAGACTTTCTTCATGCGCGTCCATTTTGGACACTCCCCTGATGTCTCCGCACTACAAGATAGCATGAAGAAGCTCGCCTCGGAGATGAGTATGACGTACCAGATCCAGCGGGTAGACGCAAAGCCTAAGGTCCTTATCATGGTGTCCAAGATCGGCCATTGCCTCAACGATTTATTGTTCCGCGTCAAGTCTGGTCAACTCAAGGTGGATGTACCAATCATTGTATCCAACCATCCCGAGTTCGCTGAACTAGCAAAGAACAACGGTATCGAATTCCACCACCTACCCGTAACCAAGGATACCAAAGAGAAACAGGAGACACAGATATTGGATTTGATCAAACAACACAACATCGATCTTGTGGTTCTCGCACGCTACATGCAAGTGCTCTCGCCTCGTCTGTGTACAGAAATGTCGGGCAAGATCATCAACATCCATCACTCTTTCTTGCCTTCTTTCAAGGGCGCGAAACCGTACCATCAGGCTTATGAGCGCGGTGTTAAGATCATCGGGGCAACCGCACATTTTGTTACAGCCGATTTGGATGAGGGACCAATAATTGAACAGCGCGTTGCGAGGGTTGATCATGCTTTGAGCCCCAAGGAATTGGTGGAGGAGGGAAGCAATGTTGAAAGTCAGGTCTTGGCTGCGGCGGTCAAATGGTGGAGTGAGAAGAGGGTATTTTTGAACGGTCAGAAAACCGTCGTGTTCAACTAGAATGCTCATGCAAATGGACGAAAAGCAAATCGATGGATCCAGTGAAACGCAAGGACTGTTTGGCTTTTTGGTGAAGGCATTGTGGCAGAGCGGTTGGATGGGCAGATTTGCTGAGGTTTCCATCCAATCCTAATGCAGTATGTGTCTCGAGACGATGCTAGAGGTATGAATCACTCGTGCAGACGTCCGGCTCCTCACGACACTCTTCGTGGGGCAAGACTACAGGTCATTGCGACTACGTGTATCTGCTTAGTGATGTGGCGAGTTACATGACGAGTGTCGATATTCCAGTCAATAGGGTCATTGGCATATACTGAGTTGGGTATAGGAGCAAGTATCAGTATAAATTTGTTTCATGGATCACACGCCAAAGCTTCTTAGGAACAGGTTTGCCTACTCAACTTCCATCTTTGCCTTGCTTACCTTTCTTCTGCTTTTTCGCTGATTCAGACCCGCATATGGCGTACCTCTGACGATAGGCACAACTTCGGAAGCAACGCCAAAAGCGCAGTGATGTGGAACTAGAGGGCCACCGCTGCCTTGATAACCATCATTTCGCAGGTAGTCCTCTTCGCCGTCAGCAAGAGCACCAAATTGAAGTTTGGTGCGCATCAACTCCATTGGGAAGGAATCGTTGCCCAGACACGCGCCATGACCGATATCATCTAACGTAGTGTTGCGAGTAGTAACCAGTATACGAGAAAACCCAGTCGAGAACGTCGTTCCATCTTGCCAAATCGTTAGAGCGCCGAACAAGAGAATGAGGAAAGTAACGAAGATGACTGGCGCATAACATTGCCATAACCTCCCAGGTACGTAGACGAAAGAGGACTGGAGTCGTGACCGATTCACTGTGAGTTTTTCTTCGGCTACCACCAACATCTCTGGTACTGATAGCAATGAAACCACCATGTCTGAATAGAAGGCCTCAATTTCAGCCGTGAGATTGTTCTTAGGCTCGCTGTTTTTTTGCACTAGTCGTGTCATTGTGACGTTCGAATGGACTTGTGCGTAGTATGGCCCTGGTTTTGGTGCCGTAATATCGACATGTCCGCGAAGAAACTCCCTAAACATATCGCCGATTGCATGATATGCCGCAATCTTCTTGTAAACACCCACGTTGTGTCGAGGGCTGATGTAGTTGTCCGTAGGCCTGGGCATAGTAGTGTAATCTATCTTGCCGTCAACCCCACGCGGAAAGTCTGTGTCCATGACGGGCGCTTGGTGTTTTAACTCAATCGTGGATTTGAAGGATGGCTCAGTGAATTCCCATTTGACGGTATACCTAGCTTCCATATGTATGCAGCGGATGATATGTGAATCATAGCGATGTGTCCAGTTTATTGCGAGTGGGTCGTCTGTCGCTAACTCTTTTGTCGAATTGAATGCGTAACCGATCCACAACACAGGTTCCGACTTGAAAACACCTAGATCTGATGGGGCTTCTCCAACAGGTATTCCCCCGTTGCCCGCCCGAAATTCAGCGGCTTGAGGGCGGGGGTATGCACCTTTGTCGACCTCCGCATAGTACACGTAGCTTCCTTGCGGTGCTAGAATGCTCATGTTAAAAGGCGCATCTGAATTATTTGATCCTTCCGTGTCGTCAAAATTACTTGCAACCTCCTCGCATTGATAACTTGGCCCAGTGAAGCTTTGTTCGTATGTGCAATTGTAGGATCCTCCACAAGCCTCTTGTCGAGCACCCTGCCTAATGTTTGGATGATCCATACCATTGTATGCTAGCAGAAGCGCAATGCGCCTTAGCTCTGCTGATGGCTGATCGTAATAGTCAAACCACCCTGGGGCTGCGGCAGCAAGATCGGTGGTATTGTAGTACATCATCGACCTCTTGTTGCTTCCATCCTCTAGCTTGACCGGGTGTCGCCAATCTTTTGTGGACTCCACCGAGAAGTTGAGCGTAGGAACCTTAAGATCAAGTACTTCGATATCGAGATAGGTTCCGAAGGTAAGTGCACCGGGTGAAAATATGATTGTTGCCAACGGAATCAGCCAGATAACCTGCAAGTCCGCGTTCGCAATTAGTGTATGTTTATATGTGGCTTGCGCCCGTCAAATTACTAACCATGGCGATGGCACACAGAAGCGGCGCACCCGATACAGTTTCCCAGTTCCCAAAGAGCGAAGGATCTTCTGTTGCACCGAATATCTGATCAATAGACAGCACAGTCAACGCCTGCTCTCTGAAAGCTCTCCACATGCGCTGTCGAAAGACAAGTACCACGCATGACCCAAAAGCGACTTTTGAGAGGTATGCCAACGCGCGCCCGTAAAGAACCCATCGAAACTTCTTGTCTTCATCGTCTTCTCGCCTCTGGTGCAGGAAGGTGTACAAAAAGTGCTGGAGCAGCGCAAACACGAGGCCCATGAAGAAAGCAAATCCCATGAGTACTGGTATACGCCAATGTATATGCCATCTTGTTGACTGGGTCGCCCGATGCGCAATGAGCCTCTCGGTCATAGGATCTGTTCGCGCTCTCGAGATACCAGACCCAAATGAATACAGCGTGTCTGGCGTTCTGGAGTACGACGGCCGTGGCTGAGGATAGGATGCGACAGAAGAGAGCATATCATGCTTTCTATCACTGGTTTCCTGCCGCCAATAAGCAGCGCCTGGTGATTTTGGCGTCGTTATAGGTATCATCTGGATCCCTAGACCTGGGTCGTTCATATCTTCTTCGAATCTCAATGGGATGTCGCGCCCAATGTCGGAGGACTCGTCGCTTGCTCTGGCAGGTGTGGAAGCATACTGTGGTCTCGAGACGCGGATCTCGGGAGACGCAGGTGAGTATGAGTACCGTAGGGTTGAAGGCTCCATAGCTGTAGATCGTCGAAGGTATCACAGATTTAGCTAACGTACAACATGCATCACTAATGCATTTTCTTGAGTCTGGGAGCCCAAGGTTCGATGTTGAAGAAATGAATTGTTTCAAAGTATAGAATTTCCTAGGCGATTTCCAAAAGACCGGTCAACGCCCTCGGAACGGCCGCACTGGCGTCGCGGCTGAACTGCAACTCCTGGAGGCTGAGCAGTGGCCTTCAACCAGTAGGAATTCTACATGTGTGAGGCTCATCATCTGATGTCAGTCGGAGTCCGATGGTCGCACGGCAGTGCTGCAGCGAATAAGCATGGGACAGCAGTCAGCCGCATCGCACAGCAAACTTTCCAGCCCCCTGGCGGCATGCAACCACTTCAAGTGCGCGAAACAACCATGATGAGACAGTTGTAGCTACTTACGACGAACTTGGTGGAAGCTGGGCTTGGACATCTTGGACATGGTTGCGCCTGGTGGGCGGCGAGGTGGTGGTGAGTGAGAACTTCATATGACGAAACGACGCTCCCCGAGCATGCGCGCTAGCCTTTGGGCACGAGCCAAACTTGCAGACACGAAATGTGCAAATTTGGCTGTTGGGCTTGCAGTTGTTCGAATCTACGGAACGTGGCGGCAGAAAGAAACAGCGGGTGTACGAGTAGCTAGAGGCACAAATAAATCGGTGCATGCAACCATGGTCCTATTGTAGATAACTCGAAGTCGTAATACAGATACCTGCAGTGCTTGCCTTGCTCTACTACGTTTCCAGGCAAACCGGTTGAGCTTGGCGGCTCAGCCTGTCAAACCTCGTAGAACCTTCGGGCTTCGTCCTCCGTGACAGGACTGACGTAACTCTTCTTCGAGTCGATGAGTCCATACCGACTTCCCTTAATCTTCCACCACATATCTCGGCGATTGCCATTCAATTTTCCGCCAAGAATATCTTCCTTCAGCCGCACCACAAACGTGTTGTACATCTCTGGTTCCTCGAGCTCGGTGAGCTCTTCTCGCATGACGCGAATAGCTTCAAGTGCCCGTCCATAAGCGTTGTCTCCAATACTGCTGCTAATGAGGTTATGGACTTCCTTCGCAATACCTTCTACGGCTTCTTGAATGGCGTCTAGATCGTCAGAGGCGGCGAGAGCTTGCTTGAACGAAGGTATGAGGTTGTTGGTTTCGATCTTGACACGCTTGGGTTTACCGAGGAGTTCGTCAACATCAAGGCCTGAAAGAGGCTTATCGCGGTCTGTACGTTGCCGTTTACCACGACCTCTGACCTTTGGCGGAACCTTTTTGACGTCTGCTGCTTTCTTGACGGAATCCAATTGCTTTACAGCCGCTGCGATGAGCTCTGTTGGTGGCTGTGAGTATTTCATCAGGATCTCCGGCGGGTCTGGCATGGGTAAGGTGGGATCAGGATGTGTCGCCCGCCATTTTATGACCTGGAGGATACGATGGACAAGGGGGGAAAATGTGTCTTCTGGTTTGGCGTATTCTTCCTCATTGCCATCTTCGTCGCGACCAAATGTCGATAAGTCCATCGCATCGACGTAGTGGCTCATGGCATTGAGAAGTTCATCTGTCGGTAGATCTTTATGCTCAGTGATGGTCTTGCCGCTGACTGTGAGTTTGCGATCCAATGGCGGGAACTTGTATCGTCTCATGTCTTCTTCGAAAGGCAATTCAACGTCAACTAGAGCCTCCCACTCTAACTCGATACGCGGAACAAGTAGTAGCAACACTGGAGGTTTTAGATCCTTCGCTACCAAACGTGCAACCGCATAGCAATCAGCTTCGTAGAGTGCGTGAATGAAGGACGATAAAGCGAGCTGAGCTTGCGGGTTGGCCTTTTGCGGCACTATGAAGTTGGCGCGACTCAAGGGAAGATAACGATCAAATTCCTCACCCTTGATAAAGCCCACTAACTCCAGAGCCTGCTGGGTTTCCAATTTCACAACGTTCATGTCAGATTCCGAAATGTGCACCGCTGTTCTGCCGTATTCGTAGCCACGCTCTAGCTCATCAAGCTCGACTGGCTTTTTCAGGCCGGGCTCATCCAGGTTGTCCACCTGGTAGAGGCGCTGATTGTGGACCGCTGACAGATCAGTCATTGGGTAGTCCTCACCAACTACAGTCGCCGATGACTCCACGCTTGGGCCAGATGCGCCAGCATGATCTGCACGCACTGCGAATGTACTTGCTGTGGGTGGCTTCGCAATCATGGTACATGGATACCGTTCAACGTCGATAGTGATAGTGGCCTCGTACTTGCTAGCATCTCCCAGTGTAAGTGAGCCTCTGTAGCTTTGGACTGGTCGGGTGTCCTTAAGGCGAGGGGTATGAAGCTGCTCAATAGCTGTCGCAAGTGTGCCGAAATTGCCGTTGCAATCCTCTACAAAGCCTTTCAAAATCTGCTCGTTCTTTACCTAGATCATATTAGCTCCATTCAAGCTTTGGCACCCATCCCTCATACCTTTCGAGACTCTTTCGTTTCTTCTGTGTAGCCTACATCTGGGTCGTCAAAGTCTAAACCAAGCAGGATAATCTCGAATGGAGCATCTGGATCCTTGATCTTCGAAGCCATCTGCTCGAGGTCTTCAGTGTCCATTTGGCCACGACCGTCAGTCACGATGATGACCCTACGATCGTACTTTAATGGGTTGCCTTTTGTCCCTTTGGTTGCGTTATCAATCATGTGTACAGCTACCGCAAGGGCGGAGAGTACTATTGCTATTAGTAAGAAGTGGCTTCACAAATGTCTGCCACTCACGATCCCCATTGTCCGTTTTGCTTGGCTTGAGTTGCTCTTGTAGCATTCGAACATCGCCTAGTAGATATCTAACGTCTATCAGCAGGGGCAACGTCTCTTCTAACGTGGCACATACGACTTTAGTTCCGAGAACACCTTAATGTTCTCATACCCTTCACCCTCTTCCATAATCCCAGCGAGATCGGTCTCGTCCGTTCGGCAGCCAATGACACTCATCAACGCGCTCTTCCTGCCTGTGGCAACCTGAATTGCTGTTAATCTATTCTTGAAACCGACATTTGTGTAAGAGTTGAAGCATTACCGCACATCAAACATACTAAATCTCCCAATGAACGACGACTTACGGTAGTTGTGATTTTGTCCCACACATACTCCAATGCCCAGTCAAGGTCAGTCTGCTCGCGGCCATTCCTCTTCTCGCCCATCGACCGCCCCAGATCGAGTATGTAGACTGTCGCCTCTTTACCCGCCATAGTCGTGTTAGCAGATGCTTCTTTTGCGCGCTTCGCGTATGGCAACTAGCGTCGCGTGCCGTTAATTTCGAGGCGTTATGGACCTTCAGGGATGAACAAATTGGCTAATCGTGGCTATTGAGAACGTGTTCAGGTGATGAGAAGATGGTAAGAAAGAAGAGCAACCACTGTGGAAAAGCCTGTGGTCGCTCCACGAAGTGGTGCAGCCTGTTGCTTTAGGCAGACAATGCACGGACCATGACGCGAGAGCACGTGACAGAACCAGCTGCTACGAGGAGTAAGGACTGGCCAGGTAAGTTCTCTACAACACTTATTAAAATTTTCTAAAAGGCATTTCTCACATGCTTTAGCACAGCATTTTTATTCTGAAGGAATTTTATTTGCGCAAAGACACATATGATATTGAGGTGATCAATGGGTAATGAACTTGCCAGAATGTCGTACTGGAAATCCGAGCCGCAGGTGCAAGACACTTACTTTCCACTGGTGAAGGTCTTTTCTAGCAAGGAAACTATCCGAATCTCATGGTGAGCTCCGCAGGTTTGCTTCCCATGACTTGTTCAATCTCGTTCAGGTTCTCCTTTGTCAATTTCCTGTACACATCAACCGCCTTGACGGTCTGATATATCTGCTCTGGCCTTGACGCACCAGTGATAGCACTTGAAACATTCTTGTTGGACAAGACCCATGCCATAGATAGGGTAGCAACGTCAGTATCAAGCTTCTTAGCAATGTCCATGAGCTTCTTGATCTTGTCTTGTTGCTGATTCCAGGCGTCGCTCCCGACAGTTTTGATGACGGATTGAATGTAAGGGTCGTCGGACTGGCGGAGGCGCGAATCGTCGGGGACACCGTCTACATATTTTCCTGTGAGAAGGCCACCTTGGAGTGGGGAGAAGATTGTGAGGCCAAGACCACGACGTCCATAGAGGTTCGCGTCTTTGAACTCTTGGTCGACCTTGTCTCGACGAAGAAGCGAGTAGCCTGGCTGTTCGACGATAGGCCCAATAAGGCCAAGGCGGTCAGCCACAGCCCATGCTTCTTCGATCTCCGATGCTAGCCACTCGGATGTACCTAAAGTGCGATGTATGAAGTTAGCGTATGTTACACATACCTCTAGTACATGGAGATACCTACCCCAGTAAAGGGTCTTGCCAGTGTTGATCAGGTAGTTGAAGGCGCGCACAGTCTCTTCGATCGGAGTGTAGCGATCCGGACGATGAGCGTATAGAATGTCCACATAGCTTAGCTGTAGGCGTTGCAGAGAGGCTTCCGTGGCTTCAATTAAATGCTTTCTTGACAACCCGAGATTGTTGATCTTGTTGCGGGGCGAAGGAAGGGCGGAGTTGTGAGTGCCCCAGTAGATCTTTGTAAGTTAATGCACTGTCTTCACGAGGTTTCGTTAAGACTAGACTACCTTGGTGGAGACGACGATATCATTCCTGTTCCAATTGAAATGTTTGATAGCGCGGCCCATGACTTTCTCCGACTCGCCTTTTGCGTAGCCTTCAGCGCAATCGAAGAAGTTGATCCCAGCATCGAAGGCTGCTTTAAGACAGGCGAATGTGTTGTCATCGCCAACGTGTCCTCCGTAAGTGAGCCAACCACCAAGCGAGATGGCAGAGATCTGCAGTCCGCTCTTGCCCATGAAGCGGTACTCCATCTCAGGGAGATCCTTCGGTGCTTCGGATTCAGACATGCTGTAAAGGCGAAGAATAGTAGATGGGTGAAATCTCAACCGTAAACTGCGGATAAGTCTGGC